AGGCAGACGTGAGGAGGCCGACGATGAGGCCTGCGATGGAGCAGGTCTGCCGGACGATGGGGCTCGCGGCGGTGAAGGTCCGCTTGGCGATGATGTCGGCGTGAGGAGGCCGACGGCGAAGGTCTGCCAGGCGATGAGGCCGATGCGAAGAGGCCGACGATGAGGCCCGCGGCGAAGCAGTTCCGCCGGGCGAGGAGGCCATCGATGAGACCGCGGCGGTGAAAGTCCGCCGGGTGAATCCCGGCGTGAGGAGGCCGACAATGAGGCTTGCGACGGTAATGTTCCGCCAGGCGTTGAGGCCGGTGCGAGGAGGCCGACGATGAGATTCGAAGGCTTTATTTGTAAATAAACGATTATTATTTGCAAATACAGTGCACTATATGTATAGGAATCAACGATAGGGATATACGAATCTATGCCATTATTCGTTAGACGAAACAAAACACAGATAAAACGCCCTTATTTGTCAGACGAAACAAATGCAGACGAAACGAAACGTAGGCAAACAGTCATGCGCCACTAGGCAGCAGGGATCACATGCAGCCCCACGTTCCGTTTTGGGCGTTGGCTGGCTGTTATGCGCCAGTTGCCGCCTGGCCTTGTGGCGGCAGGTGCTGCCGCCTGCCAGTGTTGCCGCCTGGCCTTGTGGCGGCAGGTGCTGCCGCCTGCCAGTGTGGCGGCAGGTGCCACGCGTCAGCTGCTGCACCTGCCGCCACGGCTAGGGTGGTTTCTTCTGTCAATTTCGTTTGAAAGTGGTCTTTTTTGTCAATTTTGTTGGACAGGTGGTTTTTTTAGACAAAAAATCCAGAGGGCCCTGCCACAAAGAATCGGCTTCAGAACACCTACAACGATGGACCTTATACATACCTATGTTGCATGGCATACAAAATGATCGAACACAACTCTACCCTCATGATATGCTTACACTGAATTTTGGGCTGCATATACTGAAACCGATAGCATGCTCTCGCCGATAATATTTTCTATGAATGTTCAAAGCTGAAAATGGTTCTTACTTTCTTCGTCATCTCACGGGCGAGTTCAAGAGCCTTGCCGTAGGCCTCCCCTGCTGGAACGCGGTAGTTTGCCAGTCCTGGGGCGCAGAGATGCATTTTAAGTGCTCTTTGAGGAACTGATGATGGTGGGAGGAAAACACGATGAGGCTAGTGTTACCCATCAAGACAGCTTCAGTTGCGTCGCATCTGCGGCCTGTGAATATCAGCTCCTTCGCTCTGGACCTTCCGATGATCCTTGGAAGACGCTGTGTGCCCCCGGCTCTGCATATTAGGGCAAGCAAAGGGAGGTTATCCATTGACTGAAGAATATTATTTAAGCTAGTTTTGAAGGAAGGTTTCTATTAGTTTTGGTAAAAGAAAGCAGATATACTTACGGCAGTTAAATGCATGCAACCAGTTTTCATCATAATTACAGGTGCCGTTTTTCATTCCACTAGAAAATGAATTTGGTACACGTGGCTCGTCGTTAAGATAGCAACTGATATTATTAAGGCTGTCCTGTTATTTAAATTATTCCAATATGCAGGTAAGTATGAAAAAGAAAAATTCAAGACCCCTTATCAGAGGTGGATTCCTAATTCTAAAGCGGGTAGGAGGTAGGACTCCTCTTTCTGAATCGTGGCAGGATTCGATTAGAGTCGCGTTCCTCAGCAAAGCACGAACGATTCAAAGGAGAGAAGCATATCACTTTCAGGGCATCTTTGTAACTTTTCAACCAATTTATTGCCGAAAGCCGAGCACTGTGTATCTGTGTTGGCCACTTGGCCACATACCCAGGAATGATAGCAAGTCCTGTCTCTGGCAGTCCAAGGGTTGCATTTTCTCCTGCGAATCAGTAGGAAGACATGCATTCAAACATTCAAAGAACTGCAGCAAGATTATGCTCCATAAGGTGAAAATGTTTAGCATATACTACTGAATATTAAAGGCAGCACCACATATACGCAGATCACATGACAGAGCAAGTTCCAGCCCACCACCCAAAGCAGCTCCTTCAATGACAGCAATTGTTGGAATGGAGAGTGCCTATTCAAACAAGCCGCATGATGTAAGAACAACTTAACATATAGAACAACCAATGAAAAATGATAAGAGAAATGAGTCATGCCCATAATTTGAATATAATGTACTCCCTCCAATCCATGACAATTAATATGGATCAGAGGGAAACATAGTTAAATGTGTAATCATTACTTATGTTGTTGATATACAATTATATGTGGAGGCAAAAGAGCATGCTTAAGGTATGGATCCAGGTACAAACCTCAAAGTACGAGAATGTAGACCTTAAGGAATTAGCATATTCTTTAACCTGTGAAGAGCTCATGTGCCTCCTTTCCTGAGTAAATAAATGCTCTAAGATATTTTCCATGTGAAATATATGCAACAAATGTATATCACAGATGTACAAATTACATAATTTGAGTGTTCGCATGGTCTCAATATTTGTCATTGTACGGTAAAGGACAAAGTTGGTGTTTATAATTCTTTAACTGATGAGAAGAAAAAAACTTATGTGACACTGGCAACTCATAGCATGCTAGTTATGATAGGTCAAATAAATTGGTTGAGAAATCAATATCAACTGTCCTGCGCAACGATGATATCTCATCAACTGCTACTCAACTGATTAGGGCCATGCTGAAAATGCCTCTAATCATGCATCTGATAATTCATACCTGCTCCTCTTTAAGCCACACCGTCGACTAGCCATTGACCCCACTACCTTTATGTCCTTCCTAGCCAAATAG